TTGGTATTCCATAGCTGTGTTTTGGTCCCATGAACCTGCAGTGAGCAGCACTGTCCCATCGGGAGAAAAAATCCAGCGAGTCGATGAAATAGGAGTGGGCTTTAATGGGTTGGGTAAGCGATTTCCCCAGTTTCTCCGTGCCACACGATGAACTCTCCGCCACATCACCGCTTGCTATCAATTGCCCATCTTGTGATACCGCCAATTTCCACACCCTCGTTGTGATGCCCCGTCATTTTCTTCAACACAACACTTGTCTCCAAGTCCCACAGACGAAGTATCTTGTCTGAGGCTGTAACCATCCGTCGTTTATCGGGGAACACCGCGACTGCCCTTACCCAGCCTTCATGGTCTTTGAACTCTCGCAGGGGTGAAGTGATTGGAATGAGCATTGGCATTTACTAGAGGTTGATAGCGTTGAACACGGTCGAAGTGGACTTGGGAGGGACTGTGGGTCTCCTGCTCTAAGATGCAGAGGTGCGTGTATCGTGTGTTTTATGCTGCTATCCAGCCTCGTTTCATAAACGCCCAGGCACGAGGCCCCCCACCTCTATCACCGTTATGGCAAGAATGCATCCTATTGTCATACCCGCCGTTCTCGACAGTACTTATACCCTCCCAGTGCCTCAGTGCATATATGTGTCCGACTCTTGCCTTCACAGCTTCCAGAATGTATCCCATCACATACAATTGACAGTTGGTGCTTCCCAGTGCTCGAATCTGATTCAGACTATCTATCCTGCATGAGTGCATGAACTTGAACATCGTTGTTTTCGTGTCGAGCAGCTACTCCAGCACATCACCATGTCAGGCTAAGTGTCATATTTATGCATAACTACGGCTGATTAGAGACAGCCTGGTTATGCATGGTTAATTATGCTTATCCCTCGATGGCCTGCCTTTACTATGATGATCGAACTTTCAAAGCGTGGATGGAAACGGGGGGGGGTACTCAATGACATCAGTGATGTGTATTCTGTGTTCCAGGCACTTCTTCTCCACGAGTTCTACAAGCCTGCGCTGACAGCACTGTATCCTCAGAATAAAAAGACGCGCTGTTGGATGGAGGTGTCTTTCAACTCTTTGTTCTCATTATGGATCGGTTTGATTCCCTGGCTTCGATATCGAGAACCTTCTACATTTTCCTCGGCCATCAGCGCAGCTTCTCGGTGATTTGTGCCTGGACTAAGTCCAAAGTTGGTGCTGTCTCAGGCCGAATTCTGGCGAAAGCTCTAATAAATCTGCTTGCAGTTGTGCAGAAAGGTGCAGAAAGGTGATTTGAACTAGCGCAGGGCATCTCCCGTTCCACTCATTTCTCTCTTGCATAAGATATCATATTGTGAACATGCGATTCCTCAAATACGATGAAGTGCACAGATGCTGGTAATATATACATCGGGAACGTTCAGGGAACAATCACTGAACGAACATGAGAAGCTCGAGTTAAAATCTCCTGCAGAGCACCTTTCACATTGTCCATGTTCCTCATATCAACTTCGTTGACCTCCTTCGGCCCCTCTAGCAGCCCACTATCAATTTTCTTCGCAAGGTCGTCCAGTACCTCCTTGACCTCCAATGGGCCCAGAATACTCGACTTCATGCCCTTTAACGTAAGGGCCTTTGTATAAAATGACCGCAGGTTGACGGGGAACAGTCCGTCCTTTGCATGGACAGCCATGACAACGACACGACCGGTACCGTTTGCTGTCATCGTGAAAATCGCGTCGTTGAATGGCTGGTCGTAGCCGGCGCAGTCTAGCAAAACGTCAATTTTATTCTGCAGTCCAGCCTTGGCGATGGCCTCGCGGATGGCGTTTTTTAGAGCCTAGTTCGATGGGCGTGACGTATGATGGGGGAGTCACTTTGGCGAGCGAGGTGTACGTCCCGAATATGCGTGCCCCGCGTTCTTTGCAGAGTTGTGCTGCTGCGGAGCCAATGCCTCCTCGAGCACCTAGAGGATTGCAATTAGGGATAATAAATAGAGTACATCGATTGATTAGCATGTACCAATGATAATAACATTGTCTCCCTCCTTGACGTTCGCAAGAGTGTCGACTGTAATCCAGGCACATAACCACGGTAGGGTCATGCTACCAGCTCTGGAATGGTCGAGGGATGCTGGCTTCCGGCTTAATGCAGCGATAGGGATGGCAACGTATCTGAAGAGCCGTCCGTCTGAAAAACAAGAGACAAATGCATGTAAAATACGCACTGGAGAAAATGTTCCGTCCGAAGTGAAGCCTCTATCGCTTCCTGTTCCCCACACCTCTGCTCCAATCCACTCTTGACTTGAGGCGCCGGATGCGTCCAGCGCTTCAACGACTTCCCGGAGAAATCTCTGCCAGGAATGCGCGGGGTGGTCACAAATGGAAGAGTGCCTATAATGCCTGCAGCATCGGACTAATGATGGGTCAGAATACTACTATTACAGCATGATATGACCCAGGCCGTAGGCTTACCCCGTTGATACCGGCAGCTCTGACGCGTACGAGAGCCTCGCCAGGACGTAATATGGGTTTGTCGATGTTAACTAGAGACAACTCATCGAAGGACCCAGTCTTTTCGAACTTGAGAGCTTGCATGGTGATTTGACGACTGAACGTAGATGTTGAACAAAAAATTATTAAACTAGTACAGGCAAGTTGCAACAAACTTACTGGAGGCAATAACCAATACGCATTGACTCGAAAGACACGGAGGGATTAATGAAACGGGAGATCATACAGCTCGTGAACGTTTGAACCACCGGACCTGATTATAACGTTGACAAGTCATCGCAACGATGACATCGCATCCGATGACATGGCAAACTAGAGCTCACAGCTACTGAACTAACATGCAAATGCGTTAGGTTGCGTTTCAACACACCGCTTTGCCACATTTAATGCCAAAATTTGATGCTGTCACGGTTACTTAAGTCTTAGAGCATCTCTCGGCTCGGTGCAACGAACTATACTAGTACTAAGAGACCGGAAATTAGTTCGGACCGGCCTGGCTGGCTCGAACTGTGGGTAAACTAGTAGTTTGGGAGAAAGTGTAACATGGCCGTATATGATACAGACCTCAGTGTCGTGTTATGTGTACAAGTTTGAAGCATGTGCATGGTCACTCAGTGGTGCAAGTCAAAGTTGCACCACAATTGAGTTTTAAATTGCTACTGTCATTCCCTGTAATATTTCAACGGTTCCTAAAAAAGTTCATAAGCCATTGGGGTCAACGTGCGTCGAAAAAATTCAGGCATATGCAGACTCGGAGTACCTAGAAATGATGTTTTGTACAAGAATATAACTTTTCTTGGATGTTGTACTAGCTGCGAGGTGGGAGCAATGAATTCGGGATGAGGTACTGTGAGCCGAATCTCCGACAAATAAGGTTTGAAACACGGCCGGCTGCAACGGCGGACTGACGATGAAGTTCACAACTAGTACTTTGGATAGGGGTCAATGTCACTCGTAACTTACCATGCATCAGTAAACCCCAGTTTTCTCCACAGACATAACATTTCCGACAGTTTCCCACAGTAACCCACAGCGCCCCACAGCGGCACAGAGCTCACAGTAGATTTCTCCCAGCATCGACATTTTCTGATACTAGTTCCTCACAGCAACCCACAGAGGGACAGAGCTCACAGGGTGTACAGCTGCTTACAGTGTTTGTCAGTAAAATACTAGTACTAGTCACCATTTCCATTTCTCAAGCGCTACTACTAGTATGTAGTTTGAGCTAGAGCTTATACTTAGAAAATTAAAACAATTTGAAGCACATCCGCCAAGGTCAAGACATAAACAAAATTTCATGGCCGAATCATATTTAGTGAGAGTACTACTGCCAAATACAATGTTTCTATTTGATACAAATCAAAAGAAGGTACTTGTCATCAGTCCAACTGGATGGCGACCTGACGGCAGGATGCGAATGAGTCTATGATACGAAGGTGTTAGTTGGTAGTACTATGTAAATGATAGGTGTACTTACCGTGAAAATTGTGTGGCGCTGGGTGGTGAGAAAGACCATGTTTCCTGAATGTGATGCGCATATGACCCAATCCTACATCCGCCTTGTCGAGCTTGCGCTTAGAGATGGCGGACTTGTGTTTTGAAAGAGACGTCATGACTTCATGTTCTCGGACAATGCAATCGGCAAGTGTTTTCTCTGCATCGAATACATCACGTCGGGCCCTTGCAAGGTCCATGATGAGGTTGGCTTCAAGATCATCAACATCGTTGATGGTCTGTGGGCATGTGAACGAGCATTGCCTAGTAAGATATCACAGTCACTTACCATTGAGCCAATAGCGTCGACCACATCGTACAAATCTGCGATACCACTGCCAGAGTCACCCAGGACATAGTTGGCTTGCCACTTATTGCATTGCGGGCGCATACGTGACGCCGATGATACGTCACTATCACTAGAGACATTCAGATTGAGATGTATTGGTGTGTGGCTTGACTCGGACATGAGGGACTGAAAAACTAATATGTTCGGATTCTGGAATCAATACCTTTACAGTTGAACGTCTCAGAATTCTCACGTGCACGCTATGTCGTCATTCCAGTGTCCTTCATGCGGCAAAGGCGGTTTCAAGAACGACGTTGCTGTTGCTCGTCACATGAGCCAACCTCGTTCTGGGTGCAGTACGTGGCTGCAGGATTTGGCATGCTTTCGCCCCGAGTCTGATGACTCTCGTATGGACTCGGATGATGAACCAAATATTTCCATGGATATGGACGATGGACCGAATATACCCGACATCAAGTCTGGTGGTTTTGGGGATTGGGATGAGATGTCTCGAGGGAGTACTGGTGGTAGTGAGAGCCAGGGAATGCCAACTCACAACTCGGAAGTTATCGACTCATATCCTGACTGCGCTCAAACATACGGCAAGGGCTACACGTTCCTCGATCTATTCAATTCCGACAATAACAGCAAACACCGTGCAATGAATCCGTATTACCCATTCAGCAGCCGGAAAGACTGGGAAGTTGGGTCGTGGCTCCTTCGCTCAGGATTGAGCATGGGGAAGATAGACAGTTTTCTTTCACTCGAGATGGTGAGTAACAAATTCGTCGATAATATTTACAATTTTTCTAAGTGATTCAGATAAAGACCCTTCCGTTGTCATTCCTTTTGGCCAAGGAACTTCGCAGTAGAGCGGAAATGTTGCCCAGCGGTCCGCGCTGGATGTCTCAAATCATACCTACAAAATTTCCTACGAAATTGCCCGTTGTGTGTATTGGCGCGATCCCCTGGATTGTATTTCAAGCCTTCTCAACCATCCTGCCTTTCATGATCAGCTGGACTTTACGCCTCACAGGGTGTATACCACTGCACAGAGGTTGTGTCGCGTGTTCTCGGAATGGGCGACAGGTGATGACGCGTGGAATATGCAGGTACGCATAGTATCATTTGTGCGAGTTGTCATACTTATCAGTTTTCGGACAGTCAGCCCTACCAAAAGGTGCAACACTCCTTGGGACCATCTTATCATCTGACAAGACGAATGTATCGACCATGACGGGCGACAGAGTTGCACATCCCCTTCTCGTTAGCCTTGCTAACATACGCATGTCTACCCGACTCAAATCGTCTTCGAATGCCTTTGTCCTTACTGCTCTACTCCCCGTCCCAAAATTCATCTACAAGAAGAAAACACATGCGAGGTGTACTTGAGGATCGCCTCATTCACGAATGCTTGGATATAGTTCTACGTCCACTCAAGGTAGCCGCCCACGAAGGGGTCATGCTGTCAGATCCTATCGGACACAGTCGCTACTGTTTCACACCGCTCGCAAGCTATATTGTTGACACCCCGGAGGCCATGATGCTGGCTGCTGTTGGTGGGAAAACCTCTCCAGTTACTATGGCCATGTATAAACAGTTTGGAGATTCTTTCCGTCACGAACCTCGCACACGAGCAACTACACTCTCCCAGCTGGCTACTGCACGGAGTAAAGTTGATCCCGATGACATCGAGGCTTTTTTCTGTGAGGCCCAGAAGTTTCGTCTGAATGGTGTCAACACACCATTCTGGCTAGATTGGCCCCTCAGGGATCCATCACACTTTCTTACTCCCGAGTTTCTTCACCTCATCCATTGCGAGTTCTACGACCACGATGTAAAGTGGCTCATTTGCGCAGTCGGTGACACAGAGATCGATTTTCGGTTCTCTGTGTTGCAGGTCATCACTGGGTTCCGTCATTTTCATGGCGGGATTTCAAAACTTAAACAGGTTACAGGACGCGCTCAATGCGACATCCAGTGCTCAATTGTCGCGGTCAGCGCGGATGCAGTACCTAGCACCATGATGGCTGCCGTACGAGCTCTCATGGACTTTCAGTACCTCGTACAGTCACCCGTAATCGATGACATCCAACTCACCCGTATTTCCACGGCCCTTGAAGAATTTCACGCCAACAAAGATGCAATTATAGATGGCGGATTTTGTCGTGGTCAGCGTGGTGGAGTCATTGAGAACTGGTACATACCAAAGCTGGAGCTCATGCAGTCCATAGTTCCGAGCATAAGGAACACTGGAGTTTCTCTGCAATGGACCGCCAACACCACCGAACATGCGCACATAACGGAAATCAAGGATCCTGCTCGCTCCAGCAACAACAACAACTACAATCCCCAGATATGTCGCCATCTTGACCGTACCGATAAGTGCCGCCGCTTTGACCTCGCTATGAGTCTGCTTAACAATATGGCAGACTCGAAGCGGCAGGGTTCAGATGACGTTGGCGATGTCAATGACAATGTTGATCTCGATGCAGACGACGATCACGACGATGGCGATGTTGATTTCGACGCAGATGTCGATCATGATATCCCACACCTTCTAGCGATGAACAAATACCCTGGGCATTCACGTCCGACCACTAATTACTTCGAAATTGCCAAGGTCCTTCAGCACAGGGAAGCGGGAACAGTCCCTGTGCCATTGCGCTCGTTCGTTATTGAACGCACAGCATTCCACCTCGCCTATGACCCATCCATCAGAAATATATCTGTTGACGATGCTGCCATTAAGTTTGGCCTTCCCGACTTTCTTCGTCGTGAGGATACTCACGGGAGGGATCACATCCATACTATTGGGGGGGCTAGAAGAGCTGGACCCACTACTCCACTTCCCTTCGACAAACTACAAGTCTGGTTTAAGCTTCGGCTCCAGGACACCGATTTTCATGATATCAGCATCATACGGCCTGCACAGACCCTCAACTGCGCACCCCCTTCTGATCCCTGGACCTCTGGCCGGTATGACACAGCCATCATCAATAACGAGGCGAGATGTGTATGGCCCACAGATGGTCTTCACGGTATGTTATTCTTACATTGTACTGAATATTTACTTATTGTCAAGTCGTAGGTCATACTATTGGTCAGATCAGGCTTCTCATGCGTCCTGTTGGAAAGAGTGGCACAAATTGGTCATGGAAGGACCGCTTTCTGGTATATGTACATCGCTTGACATTGTTCCCCAAAGCTCCGGTACCAATGATCGTGAGCCAAGTACGCAGCTCCACTTGCTCAAACGAGCGAAGCGTTCAAATGGTACTCAGGGTGGGTGACATCGTGCCTGTGACACAGCTCAGAGCACTTGTCAACCTCGTCCCTCGCTTCGGTGCAAGTGCGGACAACCGCCTCACCCCATATAATAGCATGGAACATGCTTCGCAGTTTTGGCTCAACAAGTATTGGGACAAGAACTCATATTTTCCTCTTTCCATGTAACTTTGACGTAGTCACCCTTTTTTATGCAATGCTCGCGTCAGTTGTGTATCTAGCCAATGGTTATTCTAGTCTATCTTATTCTTAGATCATTGGTCCAATCTTTGATGGCGCTGTGAGGCACTATGTGGCGTGATAAGCTAGCGTTTGTCTCACTATTGTCACATACAAAATGGCTTGTTTTTTCAGGACCGTTGACAACGGAATCAAATTGTCATCACTTGTGTCTATCCCGATGTCACTGACGTCCCTGCTATGAACAAGATCACGTCCAACGAGCTTAATTGGCTGGTCACTCACGAGGATACACCAAAGGCCTCACAACCGATACTAGGACACTTACTCACCCAAATCTTCCAGTCTTTCACAATTCCTCTTCCCGATGTGTCCAACCTTAAAATACCTTTTGGAAAAATCCTTCATCACAACCAGCGCATCAACGAAAAGTTTAGCAGTACATCACCAGATACCCTAGTGCCGCTGTATGACACTGAAGCGAAGACTTGGAACTGGGCTCTTCCAGTTGACCCCCCAGAAAATGGTAGTACTCCAGCTGGGGTTGACTCAGGGTCAGACTCGGAGGACAACGCCACACAGGAAACAACTCATGAAGAAAATTTTGCAGCGTTTCTCAATGCTTTTGCTAGTTGCTTGTCACGGTCGTGGTCCGAACTTGTAGCAATGCACTTTGCAACCGGCACATGGAGTGTGGCCAATGCACAGAAGGCATTGCCTGGCAGCGCTATCAAGCACAAGCCAGATATTGTCCTATCTGACGATATATCTGCCAAGTGGGGAAACATCAGGGTATCAGCAGAACTCACAGCACAGTCGATACCAGCCTGCGATGCGACTCGGGAAGGCCGCGGATACCCATGCCTATATTATGATGAGTGAACAGCCCTGGAGGTGCTTCGCTCTCATATTATCATTCACAAATAAATATCGCCACCTTAGGGTCTTGATGTATGACCACTCAGGTGGTGCTGTATCCCCCTCGCTTCGATATTTACACGCAACCCAACGCATTTCTACACATCATCGCTGCTATCATGTTTGGGAGTTTAGAGTGCGTCGGTTATGACACAACAGTTTCCTTCTCGAGGATTGTTTCACCCACCCCGATCCAAAGATATCCACAGCTATCGTCCCATCAGAAATACTCCTGCCCGACAGAGTAGTACAACAGACCATGCTGTTACCACATCGAGCTCTGATTCTCTTCCAAATCCTGATGTATCATCCGGCGAAGCTCTTGAATCGGTCGTCTCCGATGATTCTGATGACTCTGATGACTCTGATGACTCTGATGAGTCCTCTAGTGATTCTGCTCACGACTCACTGAAGAGAGTCCGAGCGCCTTGCATGACTCGATGGATGAAGAGAATTCCTCCCCCCCTCAACCCACTGCAACCCGCAGCGCTCCCCTTCTTAGCCTCATATCGCAAATACCCCAGGCTGAGATGACCGAGAGCATCTATTCCGTCACCCCTCTCCCTTCCCAATTCCCTTATTCTACTCAATCACCCGAACCTTGCGGCAAGATTCGTGTAGGGGAGAAAATCTACACCATAAAGAGGATTCTTTTGCGACCCGAGGCCTCGTTGGTCGCGGAACCGTTTGCTATTTAGTCACCTTGGACGATGAAGACTACATCATCAAGATCATTGGGTTCTGGGCAAGGACGATAATGTAGTCCTGAACGAGATCAAGATGCTGGAGTTAATGGACAACGTCCCTGGCGTTCCAAGGCTGGTGGATTATTGGGTTGTTGAGCGGTCAGATGGTGAGCCCGACATTACCCCGCAAATATCGGCACAAGGAACGCCAGAGTACCAGAGGCACCAGTCGTACTCATGTGCGTCTTGTCTTGAAGCCATGTGGTCGCCCCCTTCACATGTTCCGAACGCTTAAGGAGTTCGTGCGAGCACTAAGAGATATCGTTAAGAGTAAGCATCTAGTTCGTGGTACAGGTGTCTTAAACTGATGCTCTCTGATTTTAGTCCTACAAACTGCAGTGGAGGAACGTCAGATTTTGCATCGGTGTAGAGACTCGATCCTGGGTAGCCTCACAATGGCACATATTGCAACATAGGTCGAGTCTACAGTATCATGCATGTAACACGACACTTGCGCGATAAACGCGACGTTCGCGCGACGCGCAACTTAGGCGACACTTCCGCGACATAGGCGACACTTGCCGCGACTTGCGCGTGCTTTAGGCGAATTTTCCCGCGCCTAAGCGCTATAGGGCGCCTGACTTCCCACTGTGTTTTCCCATGTCCAACCAAGTTCCCAGGTATGCATTTCTCCATTTATCATTTATTTCAACATCGTACCATGTTTATTTTCACTTGGTACACATTTTTCATTACACATTTTTTACACAACAGAACACACATTACCACGGACCACCATCATCATAGACAGTCACCATCTCCGAGTTTTTATTATGTTTTGAATAAATCATCGCAAGCCCTAGTAGCAGTTAGCTCTAGTGGCCATATCCGCATCAGTTGTCTTATCAGCATCTCAGTACACGTCTTAACATCTCACTATCGCTCGCATACCGCTTTCACCCAGTTCCGCTTTTCGACGCGCGACTTTCCCGCGCTTCGCGCGCCTATAGCGCCTTTGTTCCCGCGCTTTCGCCTTATCACGCGCTTTGCGCATTCCCCCTAGAGTTGACCAGTGGATATTTGCTTTCTCCGCTTCCCCTAAGGGACGAACATATCGCACTCATATTTTCCTCCCTTCAACAATTATATCAGCTGCACCCTCAGCTGAGTTGAAGATCCTTCATCGGGACTGTAGTCTTAACAACTGCGATGATCCTAGACGAGCTTGGCAGTAGTGAAGGGTTTCTTATTGACTGGGAGTTCGCGGTTCGTATTGCCGCGGATAACAAATATCCCATCGGTGGTACAGTAAGTACACCTCATTCATTAAATATTCAGTTTATTAATTCATTTGCCAGGGCACAGTCCCTTTCATGTCATGTGGGCTACTCAACCAGGTCGCAATCCTGCAGCAACAGGCGAACTCGGAATCGATGAAGAAGAAAACTCGGGCACATAAATCAACGAAAAAACCGACAACCCTGAAATCATCATCGGATTCTTTGGCTCTGCCAATATCATTTGTCGTTCACAGATTCGCGGATGACTTGGAGTCTCTTTTTTTTATATTCGCTTGGGTTTGCATCAAGTTCAGTGGTCCCAATGGCATGGTGCGCCAGGGGCCCTTACCCAATTCCTTGCTGGATCGATGGACAAGCCTTGACTTGGAAACATGCGCCGCCTTCAAGATCACCTTTTTCGCGAATCCAGCAGAAGAAAAGCGTCTCACTGATGAATTTCACCCGTACTTCAGGGACCTCATCCCCCTCGCAACCGAGTGGCGTAAAGCTCTGGCGGACAACATGATTCACCCCGTCACCTTCAGTACCATTCTTGGTATACTCAACTCGCATCTTAACAAGCTTCCCGACGAGGAGGAGCTCGCAACTACTGTGAATATGCTCAAGAATGATGCTGCCATTCTCGCGGATCGTTTCAAGGGGAAACGGCTTGCTTCAGAGTCTTTCTCTGTTGTGGAGCCTAAGCGACAGAAGTCCCATCATACTGGAGACACTGAGTCTGATTCAGCATCGGGCAGTGACGCATGACCAGGAGGGAAAGGTGATTCGATTTGTCCACCCGCTCATCATACGCTATCTTCTTTGTTATTAGCTTGTTTGCACTGGCATATGCATACCTAGAATCTCGTGTACTGTGTTACGTTGTTATGAAAGTTCACCTACGAGCACCCTACTGATTTTTCTCTTTCTCTTCACAATCAGACAGTTTCTTTTACGTACTACTATTCATCTTGCCAATGATGCGCACTGTTTTTGCTTATGTAATCGAAATTTGAATGTAACTCTCAGGCTGGGTGCAAAACGTTTTCTTAACTGACGTCAATATGAAGCACATCTTCTCTTGCTAGTCCCATCTGAATATCGAGTACGAGTCATGATACACAACTCTTGCGACACATTGACTCAGGTGTGTTGCTCTATTACTATCATTACTAACAATGAAGTTTTTCTCTCGCTAGTCGTCCGAATATCGATTACTGAGACATGATATAAAATCCTCGTGAGTCTGGTATAATTCATCAGCGTTGCCTCTTCCTGTTCTTTATTGCAGTGATGCCTCCCCGTGCCGTTGCCAGTCCCAAGAGGAAACTGATCCAAGCGCAAAGGATCTGATGCTTTAAAGACCGGCTTGCCAAAGAAGTCGCGGGCTGCAGACATTGCCGAAGTACCCAGCATGGTACCTCTCGTGTCACTCGGCCTGGCTGGAGCAGAAGCAGCAAATGATGCTCCCCGACGTTCTGGCCGCCCTAATGCAGGAACTGGAGGTAGGAACGCCCAGCTGGAGAAAATTGGATTAGCGCTACAATCTAAGCCTCGAGCTCACGAACACAAGGGTAGGACGTCCCTTGGTCCCAATGTTCCAGTCAATCCCCAAGCCCCAGAGCCACGTTGTAAAGGTCGAAAGAAAGATTCTAAGGTAAGTGTTTAATCAATGTTGTTACTCATGTTGATTCTCCCATAGGCAGTTCCTCCACCGTATAGCTCGCTCGTCAGTGATGCTCCAGATGCCTCAGCCATGGATATTGCAGAGCCCAGCTTGACATTACTACAACCTGGCAGACGGTTTGGATTTGCTGCTTCAAACACCACAGACTTTGTTCATCCCGGTACTGCTAAGCCCGATCTTCAGGTGTCGGAAAACCCATATGTCACCGTTGGGATGAAGGTCGCTGAGCAGCGAGCTAGGGACGCTATTGCTGAGCAACGAGCTAGGGACGCTATTGCTGAGCAACGAGCTAGGGACGCTATTGCTGAGCAACGAGCAAGGGACGCTATTGCAGAGAAGCGAGCTAGGGATGCTATCGATGAGCAGCGAGCTCGGGATGCTATTGATGAGAAACGAGTTCGGGACGCTATCGCTGAGAAACAAGCTCGGGACGCTATCGCTGAGCAGCGAGCGCAGCATACCCAGAGGTCCGTCTTTTTGGAGCACAACTTAGACCCAGCTCTGCGCCAGGAGGATGACACTGTTAGGGCTCAATGTCATCTGAGGCTGCTAGGATCTGAGGAGGACAGCGACTCCAAAGGCAGCAGCAGCAACGACAGCGATGACAGTGACGACAGCGACAACAAAGATCCCGACGGAGAGGCTGACGGAGAGGATGATGAAGAGGGGGAGAATAATGACACTGTCAAGAGCTCGCAGGAGTTTGGTTGGGGGGAGGCCGGCCGGCGCCAGAAAGAACATCCAGGTAAACATCTTCGTGGCATGATTTCCCTTCATTAAATCGATATCATAGGATTTTCAAAGGATGCACTACCTTCGCAACCTCCAGTCGCTCGTCCACTCACACCTGAATTTGAATTCCAGTATTCACGTGATGAAGATGATGATGTTGCCCTGACGAGCCTTGATAAAACCTCCGTAAGTTTTCTAGTCTAGCTGAGACCGACTCACTTCATTTTGTTCGTCCAGCGGAACGAAAGCTCTCAGGTATGATCACGTTACTTAATTGTGACACGCTTACATTTCTTTTCTTTCAAGGGCCCTCAGGACATCTCACCAGGCCTACAGCGGCAACAGTCCCAACACATTGAGGTGAGATTAGAAATTGTTCTAATTGGTGCTCACAATTAAGTAGACCATTACCTTGAAGCCCGAGGATGTATTGCAGTGCCACCATGAGAAAAACAGAAAGCCCCGTCTTCCTGACCCTGACTCCCTCAAGCTGCTAAATCAAGAAACCGAGTCTAGCGTTCAGCCATCAAGAGCCAAAAGGTCCAAGGCATCAGGTAGTGGGCCAACACCCGATCAACTATCTTGGTATGGCCCGCGCTGGAAGCGTTTTCTGGAGGATGCCAAAGCGGAATGTCGCCTGCAACATGCCCTGGAGAATCCGTTTCCAGCCTTGGTGAAGAACCTACCAGGATCAATCACCGAAGTTCTTATCACAACTGTTGGTTATGTGGGATAGGAACGGTGAACAATTTGAAGCTGGTGAGTGCTCATTTGTTCTTGTTCATTCTCAAACTAATCTGTCATCGCAGGGGTTTGGCCTGAGCAAAAAATTAATATGTCTCGGTTGGTGCGTATTTAACTCATTCTGGGCCGATATATCGCTGACAGTCTGTACTGAAGCTGTACAACGATCTTTCAACTTGGTGATCAGACTTGAAGAAAACTGCCATAAGCATTGCACCACTATCATATTCGCTCATTCCCCCGCTTTCGGTCCCCGCTCAAGAACGTGCTGCTTGGATTGAACATGCTGGCTGCTGGTTTAATCAAAGAATCGCTATTCTTACAGGTTTGGGGTGGACGAAATGGTGAGTGATCTTGCACTGATTGCATCTATACTGACAGAAGATTGCCAGGGGAAAACGCGAAATTTTGCCCATCCCGCCCTTCATGAGGTTGCCATCGCATTCTTTTACACAGGGCCATATCGAATCGCGCAAAGGATGCCAGAGATCTTCCGTACGGAATTGCCACTCTCGTGTTTGGCTTTGGTTGCCGCAGTGGTAGGTTATCTCCTTCACAAATGTTGTATTAATTTTTTTTCTATACTAGTTCAATTGCGTCCTCGACGGTCTTGCGAAAAACGGACATGGAAAATCATACCCGAATTTTTCAAGCAAGGACTACAGCCCTATTTACAATCGGATGCTCGTATTTCTCAAAGATATCCTTGGAGACGCGTATCATGGTCCGAGGCTGTCAGCTCAACTGCAAGAATGGGCTGCAGCGGGATGGCAAGGATCTCCACCCTCTCCGAAAACTTTTATACTAATTTCATTTGCACAGGGCCGTGGCATTGAATCTCGAAGGAGTTGTTGAGGCGAAGCACGACCACCTGCAAATTCTTCTCGACTAGTTTTCTATTCCCGCGCCCCTCTTTCATCGTTTTAGGCACCGTTGTATCATTGTGTTCCCGATCGTGATCTAATACCGTCCAACATAGTCATGTGATTGAATATATTGGTTTTGTTTTATTTTTAGTGTCGTGTAAGCAGTACAGCAAGCAATATCAGTACAGTGAACAATATCTGCACAGTTCCGGTGCTCTGTGAGTGTCTGTACATACATAGACAGCAATTTTTTTTGCCAATTTAAGTAGAATTTCGTAGTTGCTGGGTGGTCTGTGAGTGTCTGTACAGAAATTCACAGAGCAAGGTGCTACTTGATGAACTGGCTAACAGGGACCAAGCTGTGGAGCTTGCACACTGTACAGCGCTGTACAGCGCTGTACACCACAAAGTGGTTTACTGATGACCTCCTAATAGTCCATCTATCGCCGAATATGCAGAAGTATTCAAGGATATCGTGGAACGTGAGTTCTCGAAGGGACATTTCATCGGCCCATTCACAGCTGAAGAACTTAAATCATCCATTGGAGACTTCCAAACAGCCCCATTATCACTCGTTCCCAAGCCCGGCAAACCCGGAAAATTTCGTCTCATACAAAACCTCTCCAACCCAATCAACCCTCTCCCCCTTATCAGCTCAATTAATTCCAGGGTCGACTCTAATCTTTTTCCATGTACATACAGCACGTTCTCTACCATATGCCAAACAATCTGGCACCTTCCTCCAGGCTCCCAAGGAGCCGTCCGTGATGTGGCCGAAGCCTACAGAACGGTACCTCTCCACCACTCACAATGGCCAGGACTGGCAGTCCGTCTCAGCGAAGACGGCTTTGTCATTGACACTTCCTTTTGTTTCAGCTTCGGCCCATCTGCAGGTATATATGGGAACATGGCGGACGCGGGAGCCGATATATTTAGATCCAAAGGCATTGGTCCCTTGTCAAAATGGGTTGATGACCATCTATTTTTTCGCATCAGAAAAGAATTTATGGAAGAGTACAATAGAAAACACCAAGTATGGGCAAATGAAATCAAGGGAAACGGGGGAGTTACCACAGATGGCGGGCGCAAATGGTACAAAGGGGAAACGCTACCAGACGGATCAACAAGAGAGTTTGACGAAGACGCCCTGTTCCCTATCCGGGACTTATCAAACCAGTCCCCACGGTCGACTGAAGACGCAGAATTCACATACTGCATGCAAGACATCGACCTCCTATCAATCATCTTGGGCATCCTCTGGGAGCTCGCCAAAGACAAACCCTTCAGCAATGAGCCGCCCTACATTGGTCTGGTATGGAACATTGCAGCATGGACAGTCGCTCTATCAGCCGAGAAACGTATCAAGTACCTCGAGGCAATTAGCGCATGGCAATCTAAGAGAACTCACACCCTGGAAGAAGTCCAGAAGCTGTACGGAAAGTTACTGCACGCATCTCTCATCACACCAGCAGGGCGCGCTTACCTCACGACCCTGGAAAGAATGCTGGGCATTTTTGAAGACCGTCCGCACATGGCTAGGACCCCTCCACGCAGCACCACAGACGATATCAAGTGGTGGCAGGAAACTCTTTCCTCCCCGCACATTGTTCGACCGATTCCAGGACCCTGCATTGTACATGATTTCAACGCCTATTCGGACGCTAGCTCTGGCCACGGGATCGGAATCATCGTCAATGGCAGATGGCGGGCATGGACACTCTTACCAGGCTGGAAAAGAGATGGACAGGACATTGGCTGGGCGGAAGGCGTCGGTTTCGAGCTTCTTGTCCGAGCCATCACGAACGCTTGCCCCCCCGGAACTTATTTCAAGGTCTATGGGGATAATCGGGGCATTGTTGAAGGATGGTGGAAAGGATGTAGCAGGAGTTGAGCATGCAATGAAATATTCAAGCATATCCATCAGGTCGCAGCCGATACCAAATGTACAATCCTCACTCGGTACATACCAAGCAAAGAAAACCCCGCAGACGGACCTTCGCGAGGGCAATATCCCCCGGCATGTGACAAGCTTCCTCCCATCCCAATCCCTTCAGAACTGCGCGCCTTCCTCGCAGAAGCACCTGAACATACCTCGCCTTCCACAATCAATCCGACCCCAAGCCGCACCTCCCATTCTGCCCCCCAGGAATCAATTCACCCAGTGGGCCAAACCCGCAGTAGATCAGAGCTCCAACGACGCAACTACGTTAACCGTCAGTTCGAGCTTGAAGGAGAGAAGCTCTTCCAAGCGTCGGAGACCTACATATAGCACTAACTTGACTCCGATACCTTCCCATCTTCGCCCGCACTGTCCTGCAAAGGAGTGCACACTTACTCAGAAAGCACGCGCGAAACGTACGGTTCAGGTCTACTGGTTTTCCATGTCTTTTGCGACAGCAAAACCATCCTGAAAAATCAGAGGGCACCAGCAAGCAACATACTAATAGAAGCCTTTATTGCATGCATGGTTGGCCATTATTCAGGGAAAACAGTATCTAACTACATGAACGGAGTTCAAGCATGGCACATTATACACGGCGCGACCTGGTCGCTGAACGATGCGGCGATAGACGCCATGTTGAAGGCGGCAATGTCACTCACGCCTGCTTCCGCAAAGCGCGACAAACGGGAACCATACACCGTCGACCTAATCATTGCCATCCGGGGAAAGCTAAACCTCAACGACCCATTAGACGCATCGGTATTTGCATGTTTAACAACCATATTCTACGCTAACCGCTAGAGTCGGGGAATTCACCGTCCCTCGCCTGAACGCTTTTGACCCCAAGCTACACATCACACTCGGTGGTGTCAAGGACTTGCAGGATCGACAGAACCTCGTAACCAAGAATTTCAGCCTACCGCGCACGAAAACTGCGACGGGAGGCGAAGACGTTCATTGGGCCAGACAGGCAGGTCTATCCGACCCAGAAGCAGCTTTCCTGAACCATCTGCAAGTCAACAAACCCCCACAGAACTTCGCACTATTCGCGTATCGCCACAAGGACAACACGCACCGGCCACTGACAAAAACCAAGTTTTTGAGCAGGTTAGCTGCTGCAACCAAAGCTGCCGGCCACGCACCAGTGCAAGGCCACGGCATTCGTATCGGTTCAACCTTGGAATATCTCCTGCGGAACATCCCATTCGACGTGGTAAAAATCAAGGGCCGGTGGGCAAGTGACGCATTTCTCGCATACCTGCGGAAACACGCGCAGATCATGGCACCATACATGCAAGCAACTCCCACTCTACATGACCAATTCCTTCGTTATACCATTCCCCCAGTCCGTTAAAAGAACCAAGGCCAAGACACTTACGAGTGAGTACGTCGCCCTTCTCCTACAAGTTGGGGATCCGAGTTTCGCTCGATGCGTCGTCGGACTCCTAACACTTGGGAATCGCAGCTCAACCTTTCTCAGTCTAGGTCTCTTTCCTCGGGGCCGGAAAGCGCTGCGCGCTTTCGCCCGAAAACTAATCTCCAGTCCTGTCACTACTAGTTCAATTCCATCAATTTGTGCCTACAACAAATCCCATACTTGAACTTTGAATCGCGTCGGAGTGAACCTCGAAGACATGTTACCAAGCGGTTACCGGTACCGGCTTGCCAAGTTGCAGTTTGAGCTTTGTGCTCAAACGAGGGCTTACTAAGCGAGCACATGTAACTGAGACGCGTTTTGAAATTGATATATTATACACGCGTCTCTCGTCTCGCTTTCATCTCGTTTGCATTTAGTCTCAGACTCTCCACTAAGTTCTCGCACTCATTGCATCTTGGTTGACGCGTTGACGTGTTGTGCGACCCTCGCAATCTGCGAAATATCGTTTCGTTCGTTCAAACGCGTTCACCTCGCAGAACACGCCACTTCGTTCGTTCGTGTTAATATTTCGCAGATTTTCCAGTAGTAAGCCTACCAACACATCCTCCCTTCCTAATGAATAATATGAAGTCCAGCGTTTGGCATTCAACTGTGGCACGCCGATTGCCGAAGCAGGACGCAAAACTCTTGAATTTTGGCCAATATGGGCCCCGAGTTATACATGAGGCCTACCTTACTGCAAACGCATTGTGCAAAATTACTGCGTATTTAAACCGTTTTCACCTTGCGATGCTCTCCCGGTACGGTTTCATTTTTCGTGAACTCCTTGCTGCGATTTTCTCGTTCCATGGAATTTTCTACTGAGGTCCCAGGTCTGTTTCATACCTTGGGCGAGACCCGACTTGACGTTGCGGACTGGGGGAGGATGCTCCTGTACAGCAATTTCCCCTCGCGGTGTGTCCTTGAGCGGCTCACTTTTTGCAAAGCTACCAATGGTAAACAGCATGAATTTATTGTGCTGTATTTTCGTCACTGGAATGCCTCGGTGCCTACGACTGCGCGTCTGGTTGTAGACCGCGCCCCGAACCCATCCCCAAAGGGCAGCGGCTCCTTCATGCCTATGATGCATTCCACTTCCTCTTCAGCTTTACGAACTTCTGCCCTTGATTCTGTTTCAATCATCCCAAACACTGTTCACTTGGAAGCCTACCTATGTACAATGTATGGCCCATACAAAGAAACTTTGCATCCTCACATTCCCCGCCACCACATCCAAGTCTGTATGCCCCTCAGCCTCCCAGATATCTGTTCTCTTATTCGTTATAAGCCGGCATGCTCCCAACTACCACCTGTGCAAATTTCAATGTTACTGGTTTGCCAGCACTATCTGGGAGACCATAAAACAGCTCTTCCCAGGCTATACCGAAACTGCCTGGAACCGTGGGCGCTCTCGCTGTCATGGGGTTAAAGTGGACAAGGCAGACAGTGTGGAGGTCGTGTGCAGGAAGTACACTGATGAGTGGACACGCTTCGAAAACGAAGCAGAGTATACCAGAGCACAGCAGGTGAGCCATTTGTGGATCAGGGCTAAGATATTGACATTGTGATTCTTCAGATACTATGGAATGCGAAGCTTCTGGTTCTTAGTCTGGGTCTTAAGGCGAAGGGTTTGGCTTAGTGTCTGGCTCCACATCTTGGCACCTTCGACAGTCAGTATTTTTTCGATGATCTGTGGTCCTTGTCTGTACTACAAGTGATTGCCGCTGCGCGGCTCGTCTTGTAAAAGGAAAGTCTGCGCTAAGTTATGTATGTAGTCTTACTGCGCTATATGTGAATGGTTTGATGGTTATACATTCTTGTTCGCACAATTAGACTTGTGTGAGCAGGACCAAAGACACTCATTTTTTTTCCGGCGGTCCAGCTCATAACAATGAGCCTGACAAGTCTATGGGATCCCTCCAGCACTGCATCATCCGCAGTCCACGCGTCTTCACAGACAGCAGATCTGAACGTCCGGGTCGTGCGCCGTATAAAAGTCCCATAGCCACCCTCTTGCATGGACACATCATGCCACCGCCCATGCCCTCTGGGCAGATCATATAGCAGTTGGACCAACATACCGCTATCCGGGCAACATACATGTCGTGCAGAAAATGCGGTTGGGAGGATGCACAAAGGTGAAATAGTCGTGTAGGTATATTAATGATCATCGGTGTCACGTAGTGGAGATGCACAACAACAACAAAAAACAGCACGAAGCGAGCTCGCAGTGGAAGAGGTCATGAATGCAGAGTCGCTGCACCTGATGCGGCAGTACTAGGAGCAGGAGCAGGAAGTGTCGTGGATATCGAAGGGGCGGCAAGCTGAGTCTGCATTGATGCCTGGAGCTGGACTTAACATTGTGATTGGCCTTGCTGCTGTGTTGATTGTGCATTGGCATCGGCATGTTGAGGAGATGCACAGCAGAGAAAAAGCACAAGATGAGCCAACAAACGGACGGGTAGTGAATGTGCGTGTCTTGCAGGTGGTGCAGTAGGATTAGTACCTGAAGCAGGCGGTGTCGTGGACGAACCTTGGGCGTGTGACTGGGTTTGCTGCTGTGCTTTTTGTGGCGGCGGCGGAGCAGTAAATATGACCTGGACAGAAATCATTAAACCAAAGCAACGCGAAATGCATAAGAAGGATTGTATACCTCTCTGTCCTTTACTAGAGGAACCTCGACAATAGGAGGACCACGAAAGAAGATGGATCGCCTTGGACGTTGCCGGAGTTCAGTTGCATCATTGGTGTTGCGGTGAGAGTAGTGGAAGAGGGACGAAAAGTGTTCAAGAAGGGATGTGCGAGGGTTGTTTGCGAGAGAACGATGAGTACCGCGTGCTGTGGAGGACTGAGAGTACATAAATCAGAACAAGAACTGGTCAAAAAAGCAGACGACTGACCTGGGCGCCACTTTGCACGCCATCAAAAAAGGCTGGCTGTATTCGACGGGCCTGAATGGGTGGACGTCGTGCAGCATTGCTCTAGAGTGATGGTCTCAAAATGGTTGAAAAGATGAAGGAATACGTCACATACGTCCATCAACGATTTCTGCGCTGGGACCTGCGAGTGGGAGATTAGCGTAGTTTATACCCAAGAATCATGTAATTTACATTAGATAAAGGTTGGAGGAGGTCTTCAAGGCCTGCTTCTTTGAGGATGGCGTGAATGTCCCATGTGTATGCATTGCCGTTTTGGCAACCAGTGACTAGCAGCTTTCCATCAGCGGAAAGGGCTACACAGCACACACCATCTTCATGATAGAGGGGTGGTCCAATTGGGAGGTTGGTGTCGAGATTCCATAAACGCGCTGTTTCATCGGACAATCCACTTGCAAGGAAGCGGTTGTTCCGAGATAAGGAGATGGAGGTGACAAGGTGATCAGTCTCAAGGACGGCGATCTTTTCCCAAGTGGCTGTGTCGAATATCCTATTTGGGCCTGAACCGGAGATAAGTTTCTTTCCGTCTGACGTCCATGCCAAGCCCCAAACTCCATTATCGTGTTTGAGTGTGTTCAACAGATTACCTGTCTTGGCATTCCAGATTTTGACTGCATTCTCGTCCAGTCCGCCGGTTGCAATTTTTGTTGCATCGGGCGAGTATATCACCGCTCGCATCTGGTTGTGCCCGGTTTTGATCGTCAGGACAGTTTTGCTGCTTTCGACGTCCCAGACTCTTGCCGTCCCATCCCAGGATCCGCTCAGCACTTGATTACCATCTGCACTCCAGCACAATGCACACACAACATGTGCGTGTCGTGTCCATTCCACAATAACCTTCATCGTCTCGACATCCCATAACCTCACCTTCCCGTCATTGTGTCCACTTGCAACTGTCTGGCCATTTGGAGACAATGCCATGGACCACACTCCTGCGTTATCCTCCTCATCTTTCCAGTCATCTCCTATATGTATGCCGCTCTCTAGGTCCCATAGTCGCCGTGAGCCGTCCGTCGAACATGTGAGGATATGTCGTCCGCCAGGCAGGTGCACAACACCTCGTACCCAGCTAGTATGGCCTTGCATCGTCTTGCGTGGCGTGATCACTGGCATCTCATTGGTGGAGGAAGACATGATCGGCCCTCGGTATCTCAACTACGGCAGATTGGGGACTATGTATGTAAGAAAGGCGGGGATCTTAGAATCAGATCAGGTTATCCGGTAACAACAGTAACATCTGGTGAGTCCAGGGACCTGTCTTTTTCTTGTCAGAACACACAAGCCATTGCTGACAAGACGGCCTTACAGGATCCAATCCTCACCCAGAGGCCAACTTCGGGACTGTCTATGGAGGAGGCGCTGCGCCGTTATCTGACAAATCAAGAGATTCTTGTGGGTATCCGAAGTTGCTGGTATGTGTGTCGCCAGGTGTAACCTGCAAAAAAGCCCAGTATCACTTACGAGTGATACCGTTAGACGAACCCTCAATCACCAGCGATCGCTTAGAGGTGTGTGGTTGGGAGTAGAGGAAGTTGGGCACCCGTTCATTCAAGCGTCTTTTAAGGTGCGTCACATGCGTCATCCTCGTGTTCGCTTCACAGCTTATTGCTGTGTAGATCAAGCGCTCACATCTGCATCCGGTGCTATGTCCATCTTCCTATAAGTAAGGACTACGTTGATGGTTATGGCTAATATTTGACGGGTTGCTGCACTCCCTACCCACTCTGCACGTTCCATTCAGTCTACCCTTGAACTCGATGTTATCAACTCATCCAGCATGTTCGCAGGTTATAGAGCAGCGCCTATTTCTAGGATGGACTTTTGTTTTCCAGGAGGTACCCGTTGACATCAAACAGCCGACAGGATGCATATGATGGGTGTTACCACCATCCTCCCCTCTCAAATCCACGTCTACATCAGATGTCTACATCCCCGGACTTCGTGTCGCACAACCTTGAGTATCGACACGGTCTTTGAGGCACGCAACTGCGATCCATCGAATCTACCATCATATCAACTAGAACTTGTCTTACGGAAATGGTATCCTATGGACAGGAGCCGCGAGTTCAGGTGTTTCGTTCGCGAAGGTACGTACCGATTCTCTGATCCTTACTCAAATCAGACGATGATGCTTATGCCATGCAGGAATCAACGCGAATTTCAACAACCTCGTGAACAGCCCAAAACACAACAAGTTCGTAGAGACGCTTCAGCATTTTTGGAAGAAAAAGATCAAGCCCAAACGGCGTGGACAACAAGACTGTATGTATCACACTGTCTGTGTAATTCATACGCTCATCTTACATATAAAGACATTTTTGATGTGTTGATGACGCGTGATCTGTCTCGGGGACACGTCCTCGACTTCCACCCATATGCACCCCCTCCTATTCACCTATGGAAAGCTTACGTGGGGATTTAGCTCAAGGAGTTTATCATTGATATCGATGAGGTTGAGAGGTATGTCTCACAATATCGACGCAACCAATATATTTATTAAGGATTTGTAGCACCTGTTCCTGCTTGGCTTAGACTGGTGTTTCTAGATGGAGACGTGTGTATACTTTGTCATGGAGTACGTTTGAGAGCAGTAGGTGTTGTGGGTGTCAAAGGGGCGGCAAGCTGAGTCTGCGGTGATGCATGGACCTGGGCTTGACATTGTGATTGGCCTTGCTGCTGTGTTGATTGGGCATTGGCATTGGCGTGTTGAGGAGATGCGCAGCAGAGAAAAAGCACAAGATGAGCCAACAAACGGACGGGTAGTGAATGCGTGTGTTTTGCAGGTGGTGTAGTAGGACTGGTACCTGGAGCAGGCTGTATCGTGGACGAACCTTGGGCGTGTGACTGGGTTTGCTGCTGTGCTTTTTGTGGCGGCGGCGGAGCAGTAAATATGACCTGGACAGAAATCATTAAACCAAAGTAACTTGAAATGCATACGAAGAAATGTATACCTCTCTGTCCTTTACTAGAGGAACTTCGACAATAGGAGGACCACGAAAGAAGATGGATCGCCTTGGACGTTGCCGGAGTTCAGTTGCATCATTGGTGTTGCGGTGAGAGTAGTGGAAGAGGGACGAAAAGTGTTCAAGAAGGGATGTGCGAGGGTTGTTTGCGAGAGAACGATGAGTACCGCGTGCTGTGGAGGACTGAGAGTACATAAATCAGAACAAGAACTGGTCAAAAAAGCAGACGACTGACCTGGGCGCCACTTTGCACGCCATCAAAAAAGGCTGGCTGTATTCGACGGGCCTGAATGGGTGGACGTCGTGCAGCATTGCTCTAGAGTGATGGTCTCAAAATGGTTGAAAAGATGAAGGAATACGTCACATACGTTCATCAACGATTTCTGCGCTGGGACCTGCGAGTGGGAGATTAGCGTAGTTTATACCCAAGAATCATGTAATTTACATTAGATAAAGGTTGGAGGAGGTCTTCAAGGCCAGCTTCTTTGAGGATGGCGTGAATGTCCCATGTGTATGCATTGCCTTTTTGGCAACCAGTGACTAGCAGCTTTCCATCAGCGGAAAGGGCTACACATTCTACATCATCTTCATGATAGAGGGGTGGTCCAATTGGGAGGTTGGTGTCGAGATTCCATAAACGCGCTGTTTTATCGAGCGATCCACTTGCAAGCAGGCGTTCATTCCGAGATAAGGAGATGGAGGTGACAAGGTTATCCTGAAGAACGGCGATCTCCTCCCAAGTGCCTGTGTCGAATATCCTATTTGGGCCTGAACCGGAGATAAGTTTCTTTCCGTCTGACGTCCATGCCAAGCCCCAAACTTCATCATCATGTTTGAGCGTGTTCAACAGTTTGCCTGTCTTGGCATTCCAGATTTTGACTGCATTCTCGTCCAGTCCGCCGGTTGCAATTTTTGTTGCATCGGGCGAGTATATCACCGCCTTCACCCAAGTGTGCCCGGTTTCGATTGTCAAGACAGTTTTGCCGCTCTTGACATCCTGAACTCTTGCCGTCCCATCCGAGGATCCGCTCAGCACTTGATTACCATCTGGGCTCCAGCACAATGCATTCACAACTCTGGTGTGTCCTGTCCATTCGGCAATGACCTTCCTCGTCTTGACATTCCATAACCTCACTTTGCTGTTATTGTGTCCACTTGCAACTGTCTTGCCATTCGGAGATAATGCCATAGACCGCACTCCTGCCTTGTCCTCCTCATATTTCCAGTCCTCTCCCGTTTGTTTGCCGCTCTCTAGGTCCCATAGTCGGAGTGAACAGTCCATCGAACATGTGATGATGTGTCGTCCGTCATGCAGATGCACAACATCATTTACCCAGCCGGTATGACCTTGCATGGTCTGGCGTGGCATTACCGCTGGCGTCCTACTGGTGGAGGAAGACATGATCGGCCCTCGGAGTCACAACCACGACAGAACGGGGACTATGTTTGCGAGAGAAGTCCGCCGGGATCTCGGAGTCGGACCGTGTTATCTGGCAATGGTAACAATTTCTGGTGAGTCCAGGGGCCTGTCTTCTGTCTCTTTATCGCTTGTGAGAAGCATGCCAACCATTGCTCACGAGACGGCTCACTTGCAGGAATCCAGTTCTCACCTACAAGACAACTTTGGGACTGTATATGCAGCAGTCGCTCCGTTGTTGTTCCAGAATGTACGAGAGATTCTTGCGGGTCAGGTGGTCAGCTTTAACCCACAGAAAAGCCTAGAGTATCACTCACGGGAAGCACCGTCTAGATGAACTCAGTGCTCAATCGCGAGCGATCAGAGGGCGTCTGGTTGGGAGTTGAGGAAGCCGGCCACACGTTCATTCAGGCTGTCTTTTAAGGTTCGTCATATGCGTCATCCTCGTGATCGCTTCACAGCTTATTGCTGTGTAGATCAAGCGCTCAGCATCTGCAACCGGGCTATGTGCATTTTCCTATACGTAAGGACTACATTCAGGTTGATGGTGCCGCACTCCCTCTCCACTCCGCATTCTTCTGTCCTATGTTTGAACTCGATGCCGTCAATATTTCAAGATATATGCAGGCAGTGCAGCACACCAATGGTCTTGACCCTAGGACGGAGTTGTTGTTTACCAAGAAAGTACTTCATGGTGAGTGTCACTACTTCGCAAATACCACCTCAGAACGAAGTCACTTCGCTCCATTGCGAAAGTCGACAGCTTGTTGTATTACAGCTGCTTCATCTTCACCTCCCGGTCAGTAAATTCTGACGCTCCGTTCTATCCCGAAAGACATCTTCTCGATACGTTAATTCAGCTGCGAATGCATATAGACCCGTTGCGACTTCAGTATGACACTGACATCTGGAATGAATCGGTGTGTGGTATGTCCATTGTCTCTTGGTTACACGTAGAAGAGCTTAATAATGACATTGCTACAGTGATGGACGTCAGTTGAACGAAAGTCAATCGTCGGAAGTGGGCCATCTTAAGTTCAAGCATCATTCCAGCGGCGGACTCCCTCGACTTGCACCCGGCTGGCGATCACGATGGTTGCTGAATCAGCCTCATGAATGAACATGGAATGCGTACCTGTGCCTCGTGTGCAGTGCGCTCACAATCACTATCTAGTAGTGCCGGATGTTCGGATCTCAATAATGACATTCTACCAGTACCTAGTCCGCAGGATCCCTTTTGACCGGGTACACTGATAGATGAGCGATCTCGCCAAAAATACACATTAGTGAGATCTGATGCGAGATGGAGGGTCGATGGAGATGTGCGAGCTTGATCAAGGGTGGTCCCCCGAACGCCTTACTATCTGTATCCATAGATGCCAACTCTCTACCCTGGATAGGTGCTTATGGACATCCGCTATCGAATCCGGGGGCCTTTTCTGGGGCACGCTGCACAATCGAAGTTCAAAATGGTCCGGGATGGTAGCAACATATAGTTCAATCTTTGTTCGCCAGAATGAATTCAACTGTCTTTTCAATCAGCATGTACGGGTGAGCAACCGGTCGACCGGTCAGCTGCCAGATTTTCCCAAACACGTGTTCAAGCCCTTATCAATTTGTCATGACCTTAAAAGCAGGACCAGGACACCCCATTGACATCAGTGATTTCCTCGCCATGCTCCTTCGCCCGTTCATCTCAGAGCATCCCATCGACCTATTCCACAGCCTACATACACATGACCCCGATAATGCGACTCGTGATTTTTACAATGATCTCCCGCGTTGTTTCAGAGGATGATTCTTCGTTCACTCAGTTATAGCCATCGAACCCAAGATGCTCGTATCACATTTTGGTCAGTGGAATAATCGCTCTTCGGATTGCGCAGTTCTAACTCATAATGGATCCCATGCCTTTCCACAAGATCCTGTTCTCGCAGAACACTCCAGATAGAAAATATCAGTGATGCAATGCTCTTTCTCCTACTTTTCACCATCTTCAGGAACGCTCGAGATGTCCATGGTCATCCTGTGGCTGCCAAATTGGCGCGCTGTATCTAATGTATATGCGAGGAGAACTTGCACTGTAATTGCAAACCAGTAACACTGGTATTCAACCATTGTTACTGGTTCGCTGATACAGTGCAGAGACACTGATGAAATTCTGATGATACCTTTCCCAGCAGGTGAAGAATCTACGATGTATGCTTTCGTCGCACTGTGATCTCGGTAGGACAGTCAGACAAGAGTCACGATTATGTGGCTTTGTGATGGGTCATGATTCGCTTCTACCTCTCCAGTGAAACGGTCAAGGACTAGTCATGAATCCGAACAAGGTTACTATTCTCTGGGATCATATGGGAAGTAACGAACCCATTCACTGATATTGTTTTTTTTCCTTTGACATTGACAGTGTCTGTCTTTGCAGCTTTCAAGGTCCGTTGCGATATTATCATTAGAAACATTGAAACTCGCTCATTTTTACGATGTTACAAGTTAGATTGCAATGCCAGCTCGTGACTAGACGCACTCATGCAGGAGGGTAGTCTCTAGTAGGTAAGCATTGAAAACATGAAGACAGTAGTTCCTTCTTTCTAACTCTGGGTGAACAATGCATATCTATTCCTCCCGAAATGATCTTTGACTGTTTCAGGCGTCTCGCACGACTGCCGCCCATATATTTCACCGAGTGCAGGTTGAAGAACATTTTTACCTTCTCTGCCGAACTTCAGGTAAAAATTTGTCACATCACCGGATGACCACCTCGACCGTGGCCATCTACGTGCTTCCCCTGTCTTGCGAAGTTTAAGGACCACTACAATGACGGGCTCCTGCCACCAAGAGATTGATCCTCACCAAGTTCTGGACTCAATCATATTATTCAGCAAGCAGTCCACACACGCTCAACCGCTCATTCCCCAGTACTGAAATCATAAATTTTTTCTAGATATTAGGGAGGTTCATTGAGTCAGTGTTGAGCGCCCTGAGCACGCATAACTTTGTATCGACGCTATCGCTTGCTTCTCAGGCTCTCTGTCCGACTCTCTCAGTAGATCAAAATAGTACAGGTGATAGCATGCTGTATCTGATGGGATTATCTTAGCAGATCTCCATTGCATTGATTATTCTCCTAGGAGGTGACGAGATTGAGTTATGGAATGAAGATCTGGTCGGAGCATAGGTCATGTAGGAAAACAATCCATCATCCCCGTGATGTGAAGAAAGAGATAAGAGTACAGAAGAACTAGAAGCAAAGGTGAAATAATCGTGTACCTATATTAATGACCATCGGCGTATGGGGGATATGCACAACAACAACAACAACAACAGCACGAAGTGAGCTGGCAGTGGAAGAGATCATGAATGCAGGGTCGCTGCACCTGATGCGGCAGTACCAGGAACAGGAGCAGGAAGTGTCGTGGATGTCGAAGTGGCGGCAAGTGGAGTCTACGATGATGCCTCGACCTGGGCTTGACATTGTGATTGGCCTTGCTGCTGTGTTGATTGTGCATTGGCATCGGCATGTTGAGGAGATGCGCAGCAGAGAAGAAGCACGAGATGAGCCAACAAACGGACGGGCAGTGAATGCGCGTGTTTTGCAGGTGGTGTGGTAGGATTAGTACCTGGAGCAGGCAGTGCCATGGACGAACCTTGGGCGTGTGACTGGGTTTGCTGCTGTGTTTTTTGTGGCGGCGGCGGAGCAGTAAATATGACCTGGACAGAAATCATTAAAACAAAGCAATGTGAAATGCATACGAAGAAATGTATACCTCTCTGTCCTTTACTAGAGGAACTTCGACAATAGGAGGATCACGAAAGAAGATGTATCGCCTTGGACGTTGCTGGAGTTCAGTTGGATCATCGGTGTTGCGGTGAGAGTGTTGGAAGAGGGACGAAAATCGTTCGAGAAGGGATGTGCGAGGGTTGTTTGCGAGAGAACGATGAGTACCGCGTGCTGTGGATGACTGAGTACATAGGTCAGAACAAGAACTGACCAAAAAAAGCAGACGGCTGACCTGGGCGCCACTTTGTACGCCATCGAAAAAGGCTGGCTATATTCGACGGGCCTGAATGGGTGGACGTCGTGCAGCATTGCTCTAGAGTGATGGTCTCAAAGGTTGAAAAGATGAAAGAATACATCACGTACTTTCATCAACAACTTCTGCGCTGAAACCTGCAAGTGGGAGATTAGCGTGGTTTTTACCGAAGAACCATGTAATTTACATTAGATAAAGGTTGGAGGAGATCTTCAAGGCCTGCTTCTTTGAGGATGGCGTGAATGTCCCATGTGTATGAGTTGCCGTTTCGACAACCAGTGACTAGCAGCTTTCCATCAGCGGAAAGGGCTACACAGCACACACCATCTTCATGATAGAGGGGTGGTCCAATTGGGAGGTTGGTGTCGAGATTCCATAGACGCGCTGTGTCATCGAGCGATCCACTTGCAAGTAGGCGTTCATTCCGAGATAAGGAGATGGTGGTGACACATCGATCCTCAAGGACGCCGATCTCCTCCCAAGCGGTTGTGTTGAATATCCTAATCGGGCCATATGAACCGCAGATAAGTTTCTTTCCGTCCGACGTTGATGCCAAGCTGTAAATTTCGCCATCATCATCACATTCGAGTGTTTTGAACAGTTTTCCCGTCTTGGCATCCCAGATTTTGACTGGGGCATCTAATTTGCCCCAGCCACCAGTTGCAATTTTTGTTGCATTGGACGAGTATGTCACCGCCTGAACCGACCAGTCCCCGGTTTCGATTGTCAGGATAGTTCCGCCGCTCTTGACATCCCAGACTCTTACTGTTCCATCCGAGGATCCGCTCAGCACTTGATTACCATCTGGGCTCCAGCACAATGCATTCACAACTCTGGTGTGTCCTGTCCATTCGGCAATGACCTTCCTCGTCTTGACATTCCATAACCTCACTTTGCTGTCATTGTGTCCACTTCCAACTGTCTTGCCATTCGGAGATAATGCCATAGACCACACTCCCTCATCCTCCTCATCTCGCCAGTTCCCACCTATCTGTTTGCCGCTCTCTATGTCCCATAGTCGGAGTGAGCCGTCCGTCGAACATGTGATGATGTGTCGTCCGCCATGCAGATGCGCAACATCATTTACCCAGTCGGTATGACCTTGCATGGTCCGGCGTGGCATTACCGCTGGTGTTGTACTGGTAGAGGAAGACATGATCAGCCCTCGGAATCTTCACCACGGCAGAACGAGAATCATGTTTGGGAGAGAAGTCTGCTGGGATCTTGGAGTCAGACCGTGTTATCTGGCAATGGTAAAAATTATTAGTGAGTACAGAGGTCTATCTTCTGTCTCTTTATTGCTTGTTAGAAGCACGCTAACCATTGCTCGTGAGACGGTTCACTTAGGAATCCAGTCCTCACCTAGAAGACAACTTTGGGACGGTATATGCAGCAGTTGCTACGTTGTTGTTCCAGAATGTATGAGAGATTCTTGCGGGTCACTGGCAAGCGAGTGGTCAGCTTTAACCAACAGAAGAGCCTATAGTATCACTCACAAGAAGCTCCGTCTAGATGAACTCAGTGCTCAATCGCGAGCGATCAGAGGGCGTCTGGTTGGGAATTGAGGAAGCTGGGCACACGTTCATTCAGGCTGTCTTTTAAGGTTCGTCATATGCGTCATCCTCGTGATCGCTTCACAGCTTATTGCTGTGTAGATCAAGCGCTCGGCATCTGCAACTGGGCTATGTGCATTTTCCTATACGTAAGGACTACGTTCAGGTTGATGGTGCTGCACTCTCTCTCCACTCTGCACATTTCTTTCGTCCTATGTCTGAACTCGATGCCGTCAACAATTCAGGATATATGCATGCAGTACAGCACACCAATGGTCTTGCCCCTAGGACGGAGTTGTTGTTTACCAGGGAGGTACTTCATGGTGAATGTCACTACCTCGCAAATACCACCTCAGAATGAAGTCACTTCGCTTCATTGCGAAAGTCGACAACTTGTTGTATTACAGCTGCTTCATTTTCACCTCCTAGTCTGTAAATTTTGACTATCGCTCTATTCAAAAGGATATCCTATCGTTGCGTTAATTCAGCTGTGATTGCATATAGACCTTGTTATGACTTCAGTATGACGCTGACATCTGGAATGAATCAATAAAGTCTACGAGATGCCTTGATTTCGTTTGTGGTATGTCCATTGTCTCCTGGTTATACATAGAAGAACTTGACCATGACGTTGCTACAGTGACATACAGCAGTCGAATGAAAGTCGGCCGTCGGAAGTGGGTCATCTTGGGTCTAAGCATCATTAATCTAGATGCGGACTCCTTCTACTTGCACCTGGCTGCCGATCACGATGGCTGCCGAACCAACTTCATTAGAAAACATGGATTGCGTACCTATCTCGTGTGGCAGTGCGCTCACAATCACATTCAGTAGCATGTGCCGGACGTTCGGATCTCAGCGACAACATTCTACCAGTACCAAAGCAGCAAGATTCTTTGACTGGGTACGAGAGGATATGACCAGCTGACAGATGAGTGATCACGCCAATAGTACACATTAGTGAGATCTGATGTGAAATGGAGGGTTGATGGAGGTGCGCGAGCTTGATTAAGAGTGGTCCCCGAATGCCTTATCTATATCCATAGATGCTCAATTTCTGCGCTTGATGGGTGCCTATCGACATCCGATATCAGGTCAGAGGGCCTTCTGGGGCACGCTGCACAATCGAAGTTCAAAATGGTCTAGGATGGTAGAAAAATATAGTTAAATCTCTGTTCGCCACAATGAATTCAACTATCCTTCCAATCAATATGTACGGGTAAGCAACCGGCTGACTGGTCAGCTGCCAGATTCGCCCAACACGTGTTCAAGCCCTTATCAATTTGTCATGACTTCAAAAGCAGGACCGAGCACACGCTATTGGCATTGGTGATTTCCTCGCTATGCTCCCTCATCCGTTCATGTCAGAGCGTCCCACTCTTTTGTTCCACAGCCTACATGACACATGGCCCCGATATCGCGACTTACGAGTGTCAATGCAATATACAATTCTCTCCCGCGTTGTCCGGACCGTGCGGTTCCAACTCATGATGCACCCCATACTTTCCTACGAGATCCTGTTCTCATAGAACACTCCAGATGGAAAAGATCAGTGACGCAATGCTATTTCATCTATGTTCATATTCGGGAGCGCTCGAGGCGTCAATGGCCATCCTGTGGGTCTTAAATTCATTGGCATGCTGTGTATCATTTATACGAGGAGAACTCGCACTGTAATTGCGTACCAATAACAGTTGAATTTGACGATTGTTCCTGGTTCGTGGTTACAGTGCAGAGACTCAGATGTTCTCCTGATAATACTTTTCCAAGTAGGTGAAGAATCGTGTGGCGACACGATGCGTGCTTTTGTTGCGCTATGATCCCAGTAGGACGATCAGAGCAGAGTGGTGATCTCTCTCTTCTACTCTTCCATTTGGCTTTTACTACGCGTCTACTTCCATCTATAAGTTCATCACTTGTGCGACAGTGGCACAGTGCCCCACCAATGCTTGTCCTTATCGGTCAGGTACTACTTTACGATTGCATGTCCACTATGTATGTGTCGTTATTTCGTATCTATGCAATGATTGATTGTCAATCACAGTGGCTCCCCCCTTAACTCGCAGTATGAGCCACATTAGCGGCGCGTGAAACTCCTGCACCCACCAAGACGTCCAAGGGAGGGTACGGTATGCTGAATCGCAACCAAGGCACTCAAGAGAAAGAGTAAAGCTTGAGACAAAGTCGAAGGCTTGAATTCTGGACATCATTGCTACCTGTGGTCTGACTGTCTTATATTAGCCTGTATCATGATTGCCTTCCTTCGTTCACGAAGGAGACTCGTGTTTACGATGAAATCACACGATTCCCTGTTGTACATACTGGCCCTTTATATTTCAGAGACGCGCAAAGCAGATAGACTTCCGCTACGATAATGTACTGTCCGCATAATAAAACAATGAAATTTTATGGTGATCCAGTTCGAGTTCCAAGACCCCATCGTCTAACAGGACACGCATTGTCGCAACGAATATAGAAAATGTGAAGGCCCTCAAGCACGAAGAACTGGGCAGAGGCGACAGCAAAAGCATGTCGCAAAGATTCAGAGTTCAACAGACATTCCCTCCAGTACTGCGTGGTCCACAATCCACAAATCTTCAGTAAAGTTTGCATAGAGAAGTAAAATGGCCGGTCGCAGCACAGATAGCAGATCAATGCACTGCACAAAACTCGCATGGCATCACTATGGCACACGTCATGCCCCCTGTGCATTCCAGGTAGACGGCGGCGGGAAAATCAGAACGGACCATCGAGCATGTCATTGCAGTCCCACCGGCCGGGGGCAGCATGCAAGGAATGCAGTTGTGGTTGGGAGGGGGTGTACACGTACAGTTAGGCGCAAGGAACGATCAGGTCCAAGCCAAGGTGCACAAACTTGCTACCAGGGGTACCCAAGGAATAGATGCTGATGGGGCGACTGGTAGACAAGACGTCCCTCGTGCAGCACCAGTATTTGCAGCCATGACACATTTCTAGCAACCGCTTGCCAGAAGGACAATCGAGATTGATGAGGTCGTAAAAAGTGAATATCTATAACTGGATAGCGTTAACGAATTAGCAAATGACCTCGGCAAAGAGAAAGCAATGTACAAAAGAGGTAGATACATTTATAAGATAGTTATACACATGCTGCGTTAACGACCATCGCCATGTGGGGGAGATGCACAACAAAGAAAAAGTACGAAGCGAATCCGCAATGGAAGGGGTCGTGACTGCATTTTTGGAGCATTTGGTGGGGTGGGGCTAATCGCAGGACCAGGAGGTGTCGTGGACATCGAGGCGGCAGCAGACTGAGTCTGCGATGGTGACACCTGGGGCTGGGCTGGGCCTTGTGGTTGGCATTTCTGTTGCTGTTGCTGTGTTGGTTTGGTATTCCCATCGGTGTGCTGAGGAGATGCACAGCAAAAAAAAAGCACGACATGAGCCCACCATGGGATAGGTCGTGACTGTGCAGGTGTTGCAGTGCTATTAGGCTGAGTGCGTGGATGAGGTCGTGGCCGCGGAGCAACATACAATGCCTACATGGTGATCATTAGGCGCTAGAAATGGACACACTGGAGAAGTCCATACCTGCCTGTCCCGCATGGCAGCTACTTCGACAACACGAGGACGCCTTGGACATTGCGAGAGTTCGATATCTTCATTGGTGTGAGGTCGAGAGCGGATGAGCGAGGACAGGAGATCGATGAGCGCATCCGGACGTGAACCCGAAGACGTTGTGGGGTGAGGTTCGATTTCTCCATCGGTGTTGAGTGGAGAGTGTGGCCAAAGTGAGGACAAGCTAGCGAGAAGCGCATGTAAACCTAACCGTGAAGGCGTAGAGGGTTGCTGAAGTTCGTTTGATGCGTTATTTTCAGGTGGAGAGCGGTGAATGAGTGAGGACAAGCGAGCGAAAATCACATGGGAATGTAACCCCGAAGGCGTTGAGGGTTGCGGAAGTTCTGTCGCTTCAGCATTGTTGGGTCGAAAGCGGTGGAGGAGTAAGGACAGGCGAGCGAAGAGTGTACTTGCAGAGGAATGTGAGTGAGCACCACCCATTGTCGAGGACTGGAAGCAGATTAGGACAGGAACTATTCAATAGATGATTACACACATCATCGGCTTCCATGCCGTCAAAGAACCTTGGTGATAGTTCATTGACACCACCGAACTCGTCGCGACATCGCGTAGCATCAGCCTGGAATATTGATGTTATAATAACTGAGCAGGATCAGAAATACTTCACGCACTTCCAAAAACGACTTGTCACTGAGCGAAGAACAGGAGGTGCGCTCTATTCCTGAATCACCTTGAGATGCTTCCTGTTCGAGTAGACAATGTCAGTGAGAGAGAGTGGGTGATGTGTTGATACTCACAATATTAGAACCAATGGGCATTTGGTCTTCAAGGCCAGTTTCTTTGAAAATCGCGTGAATGTCCCATTTGTACACGTTGCTGTTTGCGCAACCAGTGACTAGCACTTTTCCATCAGGGGAAAGAGCTGCGGAGTACAAATCATCTTTGTGCTGGAGGGGTGGTCCAATTGGGAGGTTGGTATCAAGATTCCATAGATGCGCTGTCGTATCATGCGATGCACTTGCAAGGAGACGTTCATTCCGAGACAAGGATATAGCATGGACCCAGTATTTGTGACCCTCCAGAATGGCGATCTGCTGCCAAGTGGCTGTGTCGAATATCCTAATTGGGCCATATGAACTCGAGATAAGTTTCTTTCCGTCCGACGTCCAGGCCAAGCTCCGAACTGTCCAATCGTGTTTGATTGTCTTGAGCAGTTTGCCTGTCTTCGCATCCCAGATTTTAACTGCACTTTTGTCGCGCCCGCCGGTTGCGATTTTTGTTGCATTGGGCGAGTATATCACGACATGCACCACTTTGTGCCCCGTTTCGATTGTCAGGACAGTTTCGCCGCTCTTGACATCCCAGACTCTTGTTGTGCCATCCCAGGATCCGCTCGCTACTCGACTACCATCTGCATTCCAGCACAATGCACCCACAATATTAATGTGTCCTGCCCATCTGGCAATAACCTTCCTCGTCTCGATGTCCCATGACTTCACTTTCTCGTCGCCGTACCCACTTGCAACTGTCTGGCCATCTGGAGATAATGCCATGGACCACACTCCTGTCTCATCCTTCTCATGTCGCCAGTCCTCTCCTACTTGTGCGCTGCTCTCTAGGTCCCATAATCGGAGTGAGCGGTCCACCGAACATGTGAGGATATGTCGTCCGTCAGGCAAGTGCATGACACCGTTTACCCAGTCAGTATGGCCTCGCAATGTCTGAAGTGGCATTATCAATGACATCCTACTGGTGGAGGAAGACGTGTCCTGCGCTTGGAGCTTCAACTGCGGCAGATTGGGGACTATGTATGCAAGAGAGACGGGATCCGGCAACAGCAATAATTGCTGGTCAGTCCAGGAACCTGTCTTTTTCACCTTATTTCTTGTCAGAGTACACAAGCCATTGCTAACAAGACAGCCTTACAGGATCCAACCCTTACCCAGAAGCTAACTTTGGGACTGTCTATGG